GGTGAGGGAACACAGGTGAAGGTGGTTGCACTGATGAGGCAGGCAGGTGATCAGGAAAAGTACTGGCAGAGCTGGCAGTAGGATGGAAAGCCAGGAGCGGATCATGACAGATGTGTTTGATGGACTCAAACAGCCTGAGCTCAATGAATCATTCTAATATATGCCTACATAATTTCTTAGTATACATATGTAGTATATAGTATACAAGTGATACACATTAGCTGTATAGCCTCTGAACTAAAATAATTTATTCTCTTTGTTCCAAGGGAAACACCTATTATGCTTCAACATGGTTACAAATAGAAAATGTATTGTGGCTTCAGATGTAAAGTGTGAAGGCTACATTTTCACTAGTTCCCCCACATAGTTTAACTTTCAATAATATGACACAATCATTCACATACTGCATGTACTTGTTGTGGCAGAAATACATTAGACTTGGGAAATGTTATAATGGTGCCCCTTTTATTTTAATACTTACTTACTTGAATGCCATATGGCCTAGTTAAAAACTAGGTATAGGTTTAGATATAAAGGATAACAAAATAAATAAGCAATCAATAAACAAATAAATAAACAAGACAGGAATTGACAAAAGCAGGACTGAAATTAATAGAGAAAAAACTGGCACAATTGTCACCTGTTGTCTCTAGATGCCTGGATCTGGTCTCTTCAGCTACCTGCCTTCCTTCCTATCTGCCACTCTGCCATTATCCTCTCACCACTGCCATCAGGAGCCTCACATCACCGTTTTATCAGCTGGTTCTCAATAAAGCCTGTGTTTGGTGATCAATCTGCTTGTGGGTTCCTCTGTTTAACATAACATCAGGGTAGTATGGCTGGAATGGAATACAATATTCATTGGTACCGAAACACTTAATAGCCCAGGCTTTTATTTACTAAATTCAGTGAACTGAAAACTAAAACTAAAGGCCTGCCTGTATTGCAGGCCTTTAATTCATTTTTCACAAAACTCAGCTCCACAAAGATGGGTAATTCTATCAAAGTATTTATTTAAACCAGTATGACTATTACTTTTATAAATATTAGAATGATATATCAATTACCAATCATTTATTTGATAATTTGATAATTTGGTGCTCATGGTTTCTGTAAAATTAACAGGATTGAATTGTTGAGAATCTAACTGATTTAACGATGTGTAATGTGTTCATATTGACAAAAGACAACATTTATATTTGTGTGAGGCCATGCCTCTAATTGAGCCTTTATTTGTCAAAACGCATAGCTACATCCGACTAGTAAAGGATACCTGCTTCTAATTGGGACCCTGCTTTTAATTGAAGTTTTATGGTATATTTTCATTAGTGTATAATCACTTGAAAATAAGAATCGTTGTACATTGAACACCAAGATCAGCAAAGCAGGAAGTGGGGAGTGATGATAATAACTTACCTTGTAGGGACATGTTGACAGCAGTAGCAGAAAATATGTCAGCATAGATTTTAGGTGTGGTATATGATATTGATAAGAGTATGCCATCTGAATGTAGTGGCAGACTAGAGCTCAAAGTACAGACTCAGGTCTCTATGCAAAAGCTTCAAAAGCACTCCAAAGATTGAGAAAAAGTTAGAGTTAATCTAATCTTCAACAGTCTGAGTTGGACAGTTGCTCTACATCATTCCTTTGATACTGATCAAAATATTTTGAGGAGTTATTCAATTGTGACTTTGTATTCTGTTGTAACTCTGTGGCCTTTTAACTCTGTCACAAATCATTGCAGTAATGCTGTGATCAATTATAAAGGGCAACTATAAAATGCTAAATATTCTAAAAATGTGTGGTCATAGTTAAAACATTAGAAATGCCTGAAATAACAGTGAAAGTTGAAATGGCAGTTTAAAGAATGTAAGAAGCTGTAACACACTGAATTTTAAAGTGTGTCCCTTTGAAAATATGAATATAAAAGGACTCCTCTTTTGCTGCCACTGCATATGAATGGCTTTATATTTCAGATGTTAGAACAGCTGCAAAACCAAAACCAAACTCTGGTGCCACCACAGTGCTCAATGGTTTGCAGCTGACCAGAGCTGGGTCAGTTTGGTTTGCCATTACTTGACCCTCAGTCAGGATAGACCTACAGGGTAGGCCCCAAGCTCAACCACTGGATGGGGTTATGTCAGGTGATGGAGAAAATATGCAACGTTGTCTGCAGAGTTTAGGTCTGAACATGCAGCTTTTTAAAATTTAACAGTAGCGTTAATTGACACACCCAACTGCAGCCTGATCTCCCACATGCCTGAACCAGACTGCCGCCAGAAAGGCAAGTCCTTTCAAATCTCTTGACGCAGAAGAAAGGATTTAAAAACATTTTAAGATATGTGGTCTCACATGATATACATCAGTGTACATCAGACACCAGACAGAAAAACAACAACTACGACTGCACACTCTTAGGTATGAGGGGCCGTCAGGGACATTATTCAGAATTACCTCTCACAAACATGTGAAAACGCTCTTAGCATACACTACTGAAACACCTCTCCCACATCACCTACTGAAACGCCTCTGCTCATACACTACTGAAACGCTCCACACACACTACTGAACGCTCTCACACACACTACTGAAACGCTCTCACACACACTACTGAAACACTCTCATACATCAAGTGAACGCCTCACACATCACCTGAAAACGCTCCCTTATAAACTCACTCGAAACGTCTCACACACTCAAATGAAACGCTCTCTTAACGCACAACATTTTGCATAAATACAAAAAGCTTTATCACATACTAGTAAAATGTGCTCATCATACACAGCTTGAAATGCTCTGATATAGAATTGCAAACTATAACAGTTCAGTAGTAAAATATGAAAATTACAGTTAAACAGGAAGGCCTTCCTGTCATTGTGACGGAAACAGGAAGACTCCACACAGGGAAGGTGCATGTGCTTTTGCTGAGTTTGAAGTACTTCAACCCTTGTGTAACTGCCCCACATGTCAGTTTAATGCAAAATCATTTATTTATTTTTGGTTCCTACCTACCTTTCAGTTAAGACGGGCTCACTGGTTGTTTTTTGTTTCTACACGGTACCACTTTAATGATACACCGCCTGGCAGACGCAGGCG